AAACATCCTTATTTAGAAAGACCATAAACTGACTTTATGGTGCTGAAGAACTCTCTGGTGGCGTGCATGTCTGCATAGCGTTCTACCTGCTCAGCCTTTCTCTGCCATGGACTGCAGATGCTTAAACTTGTCTTTCTTTGAGACAGATGATGGATCATTCTGCCAGTCTGCATAGGCCTTGTTCTTGGCCTGGAAGGCTGCTGAAATGCTCTCATGATTTTCATCAAGCCAGTCTTGATGTACCTGGGTTTTCAGTCCGAGTACAGTAATTGCAGTCTGTGTGATGACATCTATAAACTCTGTCCACTTTTCAGAACAGGTTCCTGCAAACAGTACATTGCCAGAGAGTTTTTCATTACGTACATCTTGGAAACATTGGACTTGGCCTGGGTCTTGCAATCTGCCAATGTTGAATGACTTTCTGGCAGTCCTTGGTTGCTTACGATGTAAGGGGGCTATGTGCAGGTTGAGGACTGACAGGACCAGTGTGTGATCTGTCTGGCACTCAGCACCTCGCATGGCTCGGGTGATGTGACATCTTTAAAGTCATGCTGATGTACTACTACATAGTCAGATAGGTGCCAGTGCTTGGACCTGGGATGCATCCAGGTAGTTTGCAAGTCTGAACATCGTGTTAATGATGCACAGGTTTTGCTTGGCACATTTGCTCAGAAGCAGCAGGCCATTGCTATTTAGTTTTCCTACCCCATGTCTCCTGAGGATTCTGTCCCAGTTCTTGCTATCTGTCCCCATCCTGAAGTTGCCCAAAATGATGAGTTTGTCACTGGAGGGAGTTGTTGAAATAATCAGGGCCAGATCCTCATAGAAACCTTCCTTGTCTTCATCTGGACTCGAGAGTTGGTGCATAGGTGCTGACAATGGTGATATACCAGGACTTGCTGAGCGGAAAGTGGAACTTCATAATGCGTTCATTTATTCCAGTGGGTAAAGTAGAGATGTTCTTCAGCACAGAGATTGCAAAACCTACTCCGAGAGTCCTGTTGTCAGTCTGTGATTTTTCTTTCCAAAAGAACGTATATCCAGTTGCTGATTCCTGTAACGAACCCTCATCTGCCAGCCTGGTCTCACTGAGTATAGCAATGTCAATGCTATAATGGCAAAGTTTGGCTGCTATGAGCGCTGCTCATCTTTCTGGCCTTGACACCTTGTTTCTATCCAGCAAGATCCAGATGTTCTGGGCTCTGAAAATGAGTTTTCTTTGATGCCTTTTTCTTGATGCTCAACCGCTAAGGAGTTGATCTGCCAGCTGCAGTTAGCTAGCCAGATGTTGTGGGGCAGGCAATATTTAGGGTGGGCATTGCTATCCTAGAAGAGCTTCCCAGTCGCCTTGAATGCTGCTGGATGTCTCTGCTGTTCCAGGTACTGAGATGAATGACCACTGGTCCAAAGGCTGCCCATGTGCAGGTTTGTGACTACAACTGCCAGTGGTCATCTCCACCTGTTGCTTCGCCACTCCCCTATTGTTGCAGGGCTCAACGAATTAGGTTTGGACTGCGATGACTTGCAGATAAGTTGTAGATGAAGATGAATTGCACAATAGAAACCTATGTGTGATGGAGTTTAAGTAGAACAGCCATTGCAGAGGGGCAGTCCCCCTATCTCGGTATAAGAGACTTTAATCCAGTGGCACAGAGAACCATTATGGCTGGAGACCTGTCCTGCTGCAGTGGATGACCAGGATTTCTAAGTGTTATCTTGTGCTCCTAGTGCTCTTAGTGTTCCACAATGCCTGCTGGGTCTGTCTTCTTGACCATTGGACCATGATCAGTTTCCTCCGCTCAGTCTGCTACGGCCAGACTTCACACGCTGGCTTAGACAAATCCTCTATCTCATTGAGATTTGAAGACCCATTGGTACTCTTACCTGGTTTGGCCTGTCTGCCAAGATGGTTTACCGGTGTGTGGCCATTGTGCGTGTGGAGCCACAGGTGAGAGCTTCTCCACCAGAGGTGCTACCACTCCCTGGACCCTCCATACACCCCTGAGTTATGTAGATTTATGTGGATTTACATGATGATTTATGTAGATCTAGGAATATATAACTCTAAATATTTTAATATGTTTTTAATTAGGGTTATGTCATGTTGGTATTTGGGGTGGTGATTTTAATATTTTTGTGACATGCACTGAAAGATTAATGTAGCATAATAAATTTGGATGGATTTTCCTTGATTCCTATGTTTAGGCATATTTTCACAGATGTCTTAAAATAATTATGCTGTTATACAATTGTGGGAGTCCAAAAATCCAATAAATCAATACAATCAGTAAATCAACAATAGGTTAATTATTACCAGTTTTTCCCAGACTGCTCTGGGAACAGTAATTCTGCAAGCGATTACTGGAATATCTAAAATGTCAATTTGTGTTCTACTTTACAGGTAGAATTAATATTTGACAGGTTCTCTTCATTCCAAGGCAACTGATTAGAAGGTGGAGAATAGGCAGGCACAAAACCTAAATATGTAACACAAGTAAGAGATACAAGCAAACATTCTAGCTGCCTGCCCCTGTTGACTGGGGAGGACTGGAATTGGCTTCTGTGTATGTTTGCTCAAAAGTAAGGCTAGAACTCTAAGAAACTCTGCAGACTTATCTGCAAATTCGTGAGGACACTGTAGGTCAGTACCTCTTTTTCCTGTTAATTATCTTATTTAGGTATAAGGACTAATTTATATCCAAACTATTTTCGCCAACTTTAGAACACAGTTGATTGACCTTCTAGGGTCTGAGGACTGCCTGCAGTGCTGGGTGATGAGCTGGAGCCATGTGTGGACATATATTGATACAAACACAATCATTCACAAACACCCCATTTTCTCTCACAAACATTATCCTTACTAGATCCACACAGAATTATTGGCAAGGGAGAGGGTGTTTGTTTGTTTGTTTGTTTGCTCTCCTCCTTCCAATGGTGCGCTTGGAATTAGTTTCTTTACTGGTAATCAAAAGGTAAAGCCTCTTTCAAGTCAAATTCAGCACTATAAGGACAAACCCATAATTTTCTCATCAATAATATGGCAGTGGTGTGCCACTGCCTTCCTCAGAGATGTTTTTCAGCTTCTAGCAGTGTAGATAACAGTAGTTACCCTTGGTGTAGTAGGAAACACCTTTTCTTTTCCAGAGCTGATAGCAACTACAGAGAATGATACACCCATTGCAGTGGGGAAAAGAGTTAAACTTTCTGTGCTGGTGCTTCCAATGAACATTGCATCATTGTACCTGTTGTTAATTACAGGGAAAAGTAAACTAACATATTTGGCAAGGATAAATTGCTCCTTTACTGTAACACAAAATTCTGGTTTGTTTGGGGGAATCCATTTAAATAGACTTAAAATAAATATTTGTTTACTATTTCATTTATAAACCAAAGCTCGTGCCAACAGGTACTGGGAGTGATGTACAATAAAAATGACAAATATAGAGGAAAACCATTCAGCATAATCTGCAAGTAAATTGACATTAATGACAGGTAGCATTAGCATTAATCAAAAGCCCACAGATCACAGAGACTGAAGAAAACAAGGAAAAAGCCAGTCTTGTGTTCCTTAGGAAGGAGGTTCATAATTCCTGCTGCAAAAAAGCCCCATCTCATCATAATTTAACAACCTCTGCTGGCTGTAAATTAGGGGTAGGTTCATAGTGAATAGGTGAATAAGTTTTAATTTGTTTAGTGGATTATATATTTACTACAGATGCTGCCTATCACTGATATCTATCCTACTTTGACTTGGATTATTTCTATTATTTGAATAAGCTGCTGGTATTGCTTGTTGCTTTTTCACAAGTGGATGCCTCTTGTATCTCTACTTCCCCAAGGGGATGAACCATCTGATACTCTCTGAAAGGCTTATTTTGAGAAGGAATATCAAATACTGAGAGAGGGCATGAGCAGGTCTTCTCTCTGTTCACTGCCTCCCATTCCAGAAATTATTCCCATACTGTTGATTCAGAAAGGTGGGCAGCAATTCTGCAGAAATAAAAACAAAAGCTTTCCTAGAATGGTATTTCCTACAGAGATTCTTAGGTTGGCTGGTGACTGTAGGTGCAATGTTTACTGATACAAAAGCTTTGCATCATTCCTCCCCCCCCCCCATTTCAGCTAATTTAAGTTAACTTATGGGGAAAAAATAAAATAACAAGAACTGAACTTGGTGTTACTGTTGTTTTTATTATTCATAATAGTTACAGTTGTAAGTTGATGAAGCCAATAAAAGTTTGGCTTTGTTATTGCATCACAACAATCTACTTTTTGGAACCAATCAAAGGGGAAAATCATGCTTTTCAGCCCCAGTTCTGTTTTTATAGCTCAAGCTGATGGAAGAATGAATGCAAATGAATTATAGTACTTCCAGTTTCAAGGTTGACAGCGTTAATGATCTCACAATCTGTTTCTACCCTTATGTGAATGTGTGTGTCTCTCTCTACGCACCCCATTCCCATTGTAAGTTCTTTTCATAACTATGTTTTGTTTCTTGTTTTCTTGTGTGTGTGTGTTTTTTACAGTGTTGCACACCCAGGGTCCCATTGATGGCAGCCTTTATGCTAAGGTGAGGAAGAAAAGCTCCTCTGATGCCAGCATTCCCAGCAGAACCCAAGGTGCCATAACCAGTAACCCTGATCATAGTGATCATACTCTGTCTGTTAGCAGTGATTCAGGACATTCTACAGCTTCTGTAAGGACAGAAAAAACTGAAGAACATCCTCCTCCAGGAGTGAAAAGAATCTTGAGTCCCCAGGAAAAGGAGGAGCTTGACCAGTTGCTTAGTGGCTTTGGCCTAGAGAACTCAGTCATTCCACTCATGGATATGACTGATGAGCAAAGCAAATACAGTGGGACTCGCCACATAGTGCCAGCCCAAGTTCATGTGAATGGAGATGTCAAACACAAGGAGAGAGAGACAGATATTCTGGATGATGAGATGCCCACTCATGATCTTCACAGCGTGGATAGCATTGGAACATTGTCTTCCTCTGAAGGCCAGCACTCTAACCACCTCGGGAATTTGAGCTGCCATAAGAGCAGTCAGAATTCCCTCCTGTCAGATGGCTTTGGAAGTAATATTGGGGAGGAACATCATAACATTCTGGCCACAGATCTGGGAATTGGTGTCGATTCTATGTATGAAAGACCCTTTGGAAGGACTGATCCGAAGCAGTGTCAGCAGTTGTCAAGAAATCCTCCCGTTTCCACGCAACCACCAGCTTACAGTCCCAGTAGCTATTCAACCCAGACATGGGTGCGCCAACAGCAAATGGCAATTGCTAACCAGTATATCTATTCCCCAGAGAATGAAGTTGGACTTGGTACTCATAAAATGGCTGAAAACCTGGGCAACCTGCAAAATCAAGCCAGAGTTCCAGATACACCTGCCCGAGGTTCTAGCAGTAGGGATGCTGTCCAAAGGGGGCTTGGGAGTATACCATCTCCCAGTAATGTAGCAGAAACATCTGAACCAGAGGTTTTTAAATTAAAATTACTCTCTGAGAAGGGTGCAAATAATGATGAATTGAAACAGAATACGAGAAGCAGTGTTGGAGCTCTGCCATCCTCACCAACTTTGGACATTGATCAGTCAATAGAGCAGCTAAATAGACTAATTTTGGAGCTGGACCCAACATTTGAGCCTATTCCCACCCGCATCAATGCTATTGACAGAGATACAAATCAGCTGAATGGCTTTGCCAGTCCTCAAATAGACGTGGAAAGGCTTGGGAAGAGTCCTAGATTCTATGTGAAAACAGAGGTCACTAACAAGAACTCTTCCCATCAGGGTGAGTTGTTTTAAATAATACACAAATGAAATGCAATTTATCTTCTGTTCTACAAAAAACTTCATTGGTAATTAATAGTATGTCTGCCTGTTAAAAGATTGTTCTTGAGAAATGGAATGTGTGTGAATGCCTCCTTTTCACAGATCTGTGGAATGTTTAGAGAAAACTGAGCAGTCATTCATTTTTTTTTAATTAACTGATTTTCTCCACCCCTCATATGAAATTAATTTCAGTCTTACAATACTGTCTTTGTATGCTCCATTATATTATACATGCTAAGTTTGGAAAGATGATTTTCCAGAACCTAGTGTATCAATCGCATCTCTTACTTAGCATCCCCCTTTTTTTACTCTTATTATTTTTGTTGCTAGATGCTTCCTAAGAAATGGTGGCAAGAAGGAAGGGAAGGGATGATTTGTCAACCAATTATCGGCTTTTTAAATTTGGAAGAATTAATATCTGCAGTGGCCATGATTATTTTTGCTGAACGTTCAGTTTGGGGAAGTGTTGTACAGACGATTTCCTGTATGTGAATATTTTAAAATTGTCAGAAACCTTTATTTTGGAGGTAATTATACTTAACACAGACCCCCAAAATGAGGTTATTTTCATTTTCTTTTGATTGGACAACTCCAACTGTCAGGACGAAGGAAGAGGCAGATATTGCCATTCTGTTCATATACATGGTTTGTGTGAATATTCCTACTTAAAAAAAAGGATTGTGAGATTATGCAACTAATCTAAGACTGATTCAGATATCCCACTTAAGCATTTTTTTTCCACAATTACTTGTTGAATGTGCCACAACTGATTTCACACCTTGTACTAAACTTTAATTTTGAAATCACATTTTTGGGGGGCAGAAGCAGCCAACTTTTTGCAATCTGGAGGGACATTTTGGATTTTCAAACTATTTTTGAGGTGTGGCAGTGATACAGTGACATCATGCTTCAACTACCAATTAAGCAATGCCATCTTGTGGAACCCAGGAAGTGGGCCATCTCTGTTGTAGTACCTGCTCTTGGAACAGCATCCCCCTGGATACTTGTATTGCCCCCTCCCTACCTGGCTTCAAGGAAGCCTGGGAAGTTTAGCTTTTTCCCTTTGGTTGGGGTGTTTGGCAAGCCCAATTAGTTTGGGAATGATGTTAGAGAGAGGTGTTTTTTTATCTGTTCCCTTTGAGCGACTGGTTGGTTGGTTGGTTGATTTATATGTGTGTGTGTGTGTGTGTGTGTGTGTGTGTGTAGATATAGATATACAGATATAATGTTACCATCTTGCATTTATGCTTCTAAATCCACCCGGACTTGTTTTGTAGTTGGGCTCCTAGAAATTTAATAAATAAATAGATCAACCACCAACTAACCCTGATAATATCAATCGAGGAGCAAAGGCAAAAAATAAGGGGAACTGAAGTTTTATGGGGTACAGTGGATATCTTGAGCCTCATAGAAATATCGATTTTGCTGCTGAATTTCAGCAGTATGTTTTTGAGGGTGCTCTGGGTCCTGTGAAGTTGAGTGAGTGAACTGCATATAGGCTGCAATTTATGGCTTAGCATTATTTGTGAACCAAGAAAATTTGTCTTTTTAAACAAACCATAATTAAAATAAAACATGGCTTGGTACATAATGTTGGTACCTTATTATATCTTGAACCATAAATCATACATACACCAAGCAAAAACTATAACTGCCTAAACTATTACAGTTCAGATTTGTATACCCAGCCGGTAGAAGATTGCCTATGTGAATCAGCCATGTGTGATTTTTAAGACTGCTTATAACCAATCTTTCTTATTTGTTAATAATTTAACAGTCCTTTCTAACACAGACTTTTGGTCTGTTGCCTTTTTTTCCCTAAAAATCTGTGTTCTGTTAATTACAGGGTGGGGTAACTTACACTCAATTTCATAGTTATGTTTCTTTTCCTCATTTAAAACAGAGCAGAAACCACCCATGTTCCACATTATAGATGGCATGCAGTTTCTCTATTTGGCATCATTTTAAAATCTGTGTGGCATTCTTAGAAAAATGCCTGGTAAGATCTGAGGTTCAGAGAGTATATTCCTGTTCCAAGAGTTGTAGAATCTGTGAAAACAATTTAAAGCCAAGGAGTATTAAAAAAACAAAGGAAAAATGGCCACTGCAAATTTGCTAGTTGTGTTACCCAGCCAAGATAATGGTTTTGCAAAAAGTGAATGCTTCTGTTAAACTGTCATTTTAGATGGACTTTTCCTCATTATGCTCCAATAGCATTAAGCCATTAAGATTCAAATATTTGAATCTTGAAAATATCAAATATTTTCAAGCATTTACTCTTCTGAGCATTCTTGTATTTTAATATACTGCCCTAATCATGAAAACAACACATGTTTAAGTGTTCTATAGCTACATCCTGCTTTTACACTTTTGCATAGCTAGCTTTTATATGAGCAGTTGTTGCTATTACTACTCGCTGTGGAAGTTTTAGAAAACCACAGTTTTCATTAAGATACAGGTAGTCCTCAGGTTATGACTCTTATTGGGACTGGAATTTCCATCACTAAGCAAAGCGATCATTAAGCAAAACATCATGTGACTGCGCCACTTAGCAACAGCAGTCTCAACAGTTCCAGTTGCAGTCGTTAAGTGAAGACTTCACGGTCATTAGGTGAGTACCTGTCAGGCTAGCCCAGGAAACCACAGTGAAACTATCCAGTTGAGTTAAGTTGCTTTATTTGTTTACACCATATAGACAATCAGTGGTGATAGGGAGCGAGAGGTCCCATCCTCAGCCCCTCCTTTGTGGGGTGCCACAGGGTT